GATCTAAACTCTTTAAACGTCAAAATTGATCATTAGATTTTTATGACACAACAGTGGTGAGTGTTCCCACCTTCTGCTCTTTGTAACTTAACGCCATCTTTCCATTTTCGAGTTTTGGACATAAATTTTGGAGGATATCTTCGCACTAGCGATTGACCGCAAAGTAAAGCTACCGGAAATGTACAACCCCACATCCGGTCTCAAACCAGGAAGTTAGCATTTTCTCGTGCACAGGGTCAATTGCTTCAGTTGCTCACGATCTTGTGACACCTTGTGCTTTTTAACTTTTAGCCAGAAATCTGATTTTGGAAGCCCCTCCCTCATATGAGGCCTGCATGAGAGATGCCATTTTTTTTAGCAAGCTGGAAAAGATAAAACATTCGTGGGTCAACGGGAAAATTTCTGACTCTATGGAAACTCTAAGTAACCTCTGTGAACGTATTTTATTGTAGTCCAGTCTGCTACTCTACTGTCGTTTAATCTGTTTTATTTCATTTTAATTTTGTTATATTTTTGTTTAGTCCCTTTTTACTCATGAGGTAATCTATTATTAGTCCATTTATCTGCTGAAGATAATCTTGAGTTACTATCCACAACCCTCCTGTGAATATTCCTATTGTCTTATGGTGATCTGTGACTTGCTGGGGGGCCGGGTCTATGGCAGGGTCAGGCTTCTTTTACATGTATAGTAATAATAGTACATAGGGAATCTATATATCCACATATGATGAAAGTTGGACTGGATGCTGTACTCCTACCAGGTACAGAGTCCAGTAGCTCCTTGACCAGGTCGGTGTGGCCGTAGTGCGCTGCCAAAACAGCCGGGTTGCTGTTAGATGGCTCCAGAGGCACAGGGATGCAGGCCTCTTTGAGGAGGTAACACACACTCTGTAGATCACCATACTGAGTGGCCACACACAGGAGACGTACCTGTAAATGGAAACAACAATGAGGAAGAAAGGATGTCTTTCACTTATGTATTCACTTACGCTAACATAGGAGATCAGGAGAAACAGACACATGAAGGAACTTAGTTAACCCAGAGTTCCCTGTGTTCAAGTGTCAGGGCAACACGGGTTTCATGGATCACATGACTTTTCCTTCACAGATCATTATCACTGTGAGTGCTGACGACATAGTTGTTATCAAACCGGGACAAAAATCTCTAAAGAATGCTAAAACATACCAGTAACATGCAACACTTGTTAAAAGGACAAGATGACTTAGGGAACACAAACATTTTATTTGCAGTTTATAGTTTTATCATTGAGTGTGTCCTCAGTGCTGCTGTTTATTTCTAAAGGTGGCAGCTGCCCCGTTACAGCTGTGAAGCTTTAAACTGGACACGTTTAAACATTCGAGCTCCCACAGCCTCAAAAACGAGATGTGGAAATTAGATGTGATTATATGTCACTAACTGACAGTGATGGGAGTAACGGCGTTACAAGTAACAGTGTTACTTTTTTCAGTCAAGAGTAATCTAACTACTATTCCTATCGTTGCAACGCCATTACCGTTAACAAGAAAATGCAGTCGTGTTACTATTCTTCAGCAAACAGACGGTTGAAGCTGTCTTCAGCTTACAGCATCTTATATCAGCTGCACGGAAGTAGCTGTAAGTAATCTGGGCGCTACAGCTTTAAGCAGCTGCGCTCCCGCGGACGGTGATCACTTTTTGGTACAACACCTGGAGCTACGGGGGCAAAACAATGGCATGAGTGCTGCTGTTTGACTGAGGAAGAATAAAGTAGTCGTGGTTAGCCAATCACATGACCACTTCAAGATGACAAAGCAACAATGTGATATATACCAGTTTTTAAATTGTGTTGATCGGCCACGTAAAACCCGAGTCATGATGATAAATGGCCTGTATTTATATAGCGCTTTACACATCCAGTCATCCACCCATTCACACACTGGTGATGGCAGCTACATTGTAGCCACAGCCACCCTGG